TTAAAGATGAGAAGATCTGAAGTCAACGTGGTGGAAAGACCTGGCAGAGCACAGCAGTGGGTACATGGGTGTGTGCTCTTGTGTAGAGCTGATGCCTTAATAATAATAAAAAGAACAATGAACTGGGCTTGGAAAATGGAAGGTCGAGAGGAGGCATAGGATGGGGGAGGGGAACCCAGCCTGCCAGCACCTCACCGCCCTCCCCAGCACCTGCCGCCAGCAGTGCGGAGGGTCAGTGCTCCCTGCACACCTTCCTGGGCTCCCTGTAGCTGGGGCTGTGAGCGCTGGGCTTCCCTGAGGTGAGGCGGTGGGGGTGAGGGTCAGGGGATGCAGGAGGAGAGAAAGGGCTGGGGGTGGTGGGGAGCAGCAGCACACAACTCCGAGCAGCCACAACCCCAAGACCTGGAGCACAGCAGCGGGCATGGGGCGCCCTGCACACTGGGCAGCAGCACCCGGCCTCCCAGGGCCCTGCAGACTCTGGAAAGAATTCGCAGAACATGCTGGGGCACGGCATGGCTCGGGAAGATGCTAGCGCTGAACCCACAAACAAGGCGCACCAGGCGCTGATGGAGCCCGGGTGGGGGCCTCTGGGGCTAAGCCGGCCCAGCCTGGGGTCTCTAGCAGCAGGTGGAGGGAGTGGGCTCTGGAGGGAGAGCCCACAGTCCCAGGGTGGCTTTGGGACACAGCCACCCTGCCCACCTCTAGCCACAGCCCCAGGCCCTCGCTGGGACCCCCCAGGGCCAGGGCATTTGGCGGGGTCGGGGGACAGACAGCCAGACTCCGGGTTGGATGCCCAGCTCCACGCGTCTCTTCTCTGGGCTTCAGCCTCAGACCTGAGGAGTTGGAGTCCTTCTCTTGCCTAAGCTCTAAGGCTCCACCTTGGACCCGCAGCCACGAGGGGCCTCTGCCTACCGCCCCGCGACACCACCGGCCGGGACCTGGGGCGCAGAGGGTGGGAGGATGAGTCCCCTAGTCCATCCCAGAGAGCTGGCTGGGCGCACTGAGGCGGCAGCCCGCAGCCCGGGACCCTGGGGAGGGCCTGCACACGGGCCTGGGGAAAAGGGGGAGGAAGAGGGGGAGGAGCAGGAAGGAGTGAGGGGAGGAGGGCAGGGAGTCAAAGGAGCATTTGTTCTGCTAAGTGGCCCCACTCTGTCCGCTGGAACAGGCAAATCTTCCTCTGCCACACCCACTCCGTCAGCGCCTGTCCCAGCACCAGGCTGGCGTGTACACCTTCTCCTCTCCCTCCAGGCCCCCTCTGGCCGGCACAGCCACCTGGGACCCTCACCACTCTCTCCTACTGAGTTCTGCCCAGCATTTGCCTAAACCCCTCACCACTGGGCCCTCACCACTCTCTCTCCTACTCAGTTCTGCCCAACATTTGCCTAAGTGCCTCGCCTGGGGAGGAAGTCCGCCCTCCTGCAGTGGCTTCAAAGCCCTCCTGATTCGGGCTGAGGAGCGACCGCGTCCCTTTCCCTCCCCACTCAGCACCCAGGGACCCGGGGCAGGCGTGCTGAGCTGCACCTCACACAGGAGGCCTGCACCAACCCCCAAAGCCCCCAGCGCCCGGGCCCAGGGCCCTCGAGGCTGGGCTGACCCCTGGAACAGGAGCGGCCGGTGCTGAATGATTGACACATGGAGTAGGTCAGATGGATGCTACGGAGAAAAGAAAGCAGGGAAGGGAGATTGCGGGGAGGTCAGAGATGTCCCACTGAGGATATGAGACCTGCAGCCGCGCAGAGCGTGAGCCGTGTGGATTCCGGGTAAGAACCCTGCGGCAGAGGGAACAGCAGGTGCAAAGGCGCAGAGGTGGGGGCGTGGCTGACACCTGCGAGGAGCAGCAGGAGGCTGGAAGGGACAGGAGCCCAGGGGAAGGGCGTGAGCGAGGGTGCGGGCACAGGGGTCTGTGGTGGTGAGGCACGTCCAGTGCACAGGCCGCTCCCACAGACCCAGTCCCCTAAGACTCCCAAGCAAAGCCCCCCTCGGGCCCATGACGGACGCAGGAGCTCAGCAGTACACGTGGGGGCCTCCGCGGGCGGGGAGGAACCCCCCTTCTCTGAACTGCATGATGGGCAAGGCCCAGGCAGGCAGGCACGGCTGCCACAGGGCCACCTTAAATCCCGCTCCCCTCCCAGCACCCCTCTCCGGGACAACTGAGCTCATCTCCCCGGGAGGGGCAGCTCGTGGGCAGAGAGGGGCAGCGGCCTGGCCAGGCGTGTTCCTGCCTGCGCCCGCCCTGCCCCGCCCAGGAGCCGGGAGCCGGGAGCCGTCTGGCTGGCTGGCTCAGCCTCACAGGTAATCACAATAACACGTCCCCGCTGGCGCAGTGACAGCTGGACATCTTCCCTCCTCACCAGGGCCCTGCGGCCTTCGGGGCGGAACCGAGGAGCCCTCCGACCACAACCACGGAGACACAGGCCGAGAGGGAAGGCACTTGCCCAGGGTGACTCAGCAGAGCCAGGGCTGGGCTCCCCCAGCTCCCGAGGGCAGGCGTCCGCCGGGGAGCACAGGGCCGAGGACACAGCCCGGGCAGGAGGGCCTGGAGCCCACCAGGTCCCATGCGAAGACACTCGGCACAGAGAAGGGCTCTCACCCTGGGCCTCCTGGCGCCTGGGAAGTTCTCTTTTCCTCCCCAGTTCCCCCCAAAACGCGCAGTCACAGACAAAGAAAGCCCTGTGGCTGATGGGGAGCCGGGCCAGGAGTGGGAGTGCCCCTGGGAGGTGGGCGTGGCCCCGGGAACCGGCAGACACGCAAGGGCTGAGCCAGGGGGCTCTGCGCTCGGCAGGGGGAGGGCTCCAGCTCCCAGCAGCCTTGGCTGACCCGCAGGCTCCGTGACCGAATGGGCTGAAAGACTCCGTCCCAGGTCCAGGACTCAGCAGCCTGGGAGGGGAGCTGGCAGTGGGAGTGGAGGTCTTACCTCGGAACTTCTTGGGGGGGTTGTCCAGGTCCCCCGCCGCGGGCTCCACCACACAGCGGTCATCCACCAGCCTGGGGACAAGGCAGCTGGGTCAGCGGGAGGAGAGAGACCCATCTCCCACCCTCCCTCGGGCAGGGGAGTCCAGGACACCAGGGAGGCCTCCAAGGACCCGCAGCACTGACAGCCCTCACCATCCAGTCATCCCCTTTCCTGGTGAAAGGCAAGATCTCTTGGAGTGGAGATGGGGGAGCCCCAGGAAAAGCACGAAGATATACCCCCCCACACACTGAGCCTGGGCTGTCACACTCTGTGGATGTAACTCCTGTCACAGAACTGAAAGGGCGGTGGGTGATGAGAAGGGAGAGAGAGGGACCAAGAAAGACAAGCTCAGCAAGGGAGAGAGAGAGAGAGAGAGAGAGAGAGAGAGCGAGCGAGCAAGGGAGGGAGAGAGATGGAAAAGGCAACAAGAGTCAAAGAGACACACAGGGTAAGAACAGGGGCCGAGAGAGACTGGAGACAGACGCACAGAGAAGGAGAGAGATGGAAAAGACAACAAGAGTCAAAGAGACACACAGGGTAAGATCAGAGGCCGAGAGAGACTGGAGACAGACGCACAGAGAAGCTCATGAGGCACCAAACCAGAGGAACAAGCCTTCGGGCCTCACAGACAGAACAATACATCGTGCGCCTTCCAACCTCAGTCCGGCCCATTTCATCCCCTCCTCTTCGGCCACCTTGGGCTAAAGTTCCCCCTTACAGCCATGGCTGGGTTAATCCTAAATCTCTGGAGGACATCCACCCACCACCATCCATCCATCCACCCACCGTCCATCCATCCCCCCCATCCATCCACCATCCATCCATCCCCCCACCGTCCATCCATCCCACCCGTCCACCCACCATCCATCCATCATCCATCCATCCACCCACCGTCCATCCATCCCCCCCATCCATCCACCATCCATCCATCCCCCCACCGTCCATCCATCCCACCCGTCCACCCACCATCCATCCATCATCCATCCATCCACCCACCGTCCATCCATCCCCCCCATCCATCCACCATCCATCCATCCCCCCACCGTCCATCCATCCCACCCGTCCACCCACCATCCATCCATCATCCATCCATCCACCCACCGTCCATCCATCCCCCCCATCCATCCACCATCCATCCATCCCCCCACCGTCCATCCATCCCACCCGTCCACCCACCATCCATCCATCATCCATCCATCCACCCACCGTCCATCCATCCCCCCCATCCATCCACCATCCATCCATCCCCCCACCGTCCATCCATCCCACCCGTCCACCCACCATCCATCCATCATCCATCCATCCACCCACCGTCCATCCATCCCCCCCATCCATCCACCATCCATCCATCCCCCCACCGTCCATCCATCCCACCCATCCATCCACCATCCATCCATCCACCCACCCACCCATCCATCCATCCATTCATTCCTATATTTAAAAGTCTTCAAAGCCGCCAAAACCGGTTTGGCTCAGTGGATAGAGCATCGACCTGCAGACTGAAAGGTCCCAGGTTCGATTCCGGTCAAGGGCATGTACCTGGGTTGCGGGCACATCCCCAATAGGAGATGTGCAGGAGGCAGCTGATCGAAGTTTCTCTCTCATCAATGTTTCTAACTCTCTATCTCTCTCCCTTCCTCTCTGTGAAAAATCAATAAAATATATTTTTTTAAAAAGTCTTCAAAGCCACCCCAACCTCTAGAGCAGCGGTTCTCAACCCGTGGGTCGCGACCCCTTTGGGGGTCAAACGACCCTTTCACAGGGGTCGCCTAAGATCATTGGAAAACACATATCTAATTACATATTGTTTTTGTGATTAATCACTATGCTTTAATTATGTTCAATTTGTAACAATGACAATACATCCTGCAAATCAGATATTTACATTACGATTCATAACAGTAGCAACATTACAGTTATGAAGTAGCAACGAAAATAATTTTATGGTTGGGGGTCTCCACAACATGAGGAACTGTATTAAAAGGTCGCGGCATTAGGAAGGTTGAGAACCACTGCTCTAGAGTAAAGCAATGATAATAACCCACCACTTCACGACTCTTACTTCTGAATTCTCACCCACTTCCCCACAAGGACTAGTCACTAGTACCATTTTACATATGAGAAAACTGGGTTTGGAAGTTAAATATGCAATAGGCAAGGTATAACCTTTTGTGTATAATAGTGCCAGAAACAGATACTACAAATCTTGTTAATTTGTCTGGATAATGTTTACGAAATTTACCTTTAGTCTTCTGTTAGCCTAATTTTTTTTCCAAAATAAAAGAGTGAATTTTTTGTTGTAGTTAATCCTCACCCAAGGATATTTTTTCCATTGACTTTTAGAGAGAGTGGAAGGAGGGAAGAAAGGAGGGAGAGAAGAAAAGAGAGGGGGAGAGAGAGAGAGAGAGAGAGAGAGAGAGAGTGAGAGAGAGAAACATTGATGTGAGAGAGTCACATTAATTGGTTGCCTCCGGCAAGTGCCCAATGGGGGTGGGAGAACAAATCTGCAAATTGAACAAATTGAACCTGTGACCCTTTGGTGCTTGGGTCGACACGCTAACCACTGAGTAACACCGGCCAGAGCAAGAGTGAATTTTTCATGTTAAAAAAAAGTTAAATAATTTTCCTGAAGTCACACAGCTGATTCTAAAGCCTCCTTCTGTTCCTCCCCTCCTTAGTTTGGCTAACCAGGCCTTTTGTGATCTGACCTCCGTAGCTAACCTCACAACCTCCTTGCTCCAGCTGTGCTACTAGTAAACCTCCAGTTGATCCCACAGTCCCTGGAGCTCTCATCTCTACGGAGATGGTCATGGCAGCCTGCACTGCCCTTCATCCCAGCCCACCCTGGCTCCCTCCACGCCCTGGGCGTGCCAGAGTTCTGTTCACTCTCCCACACTCAGCCCCTCCTCACCTACCCTGTGAAGAGTCCTTGGCCAGTGCCTCCTCCCTCTGGGCCTCCCTTCCCAGTGTCCCCACAGCGCCCGGTCCTGGCCGCTCCTGCTGCCATGTCTCTTTCTATGGCAGCTACTTCCTGTGTCCACACTGATTCCTTGAAGACAGGACCCTATGCTGTCCCCTGTGGCATCACCAGCACTTTGTAGTGTGGTCCACAGTAATAATAATCGCAAGCAGGGTTTTATTCCCGATGTTTTCATATATCGTTTCTTAATGTTCCAAATCGGCTTTGCTATTATTTGCATTTCGCAGGCAAAGAAACCAGAGCACGGAGATGTTAGACCATCTGGCCAGGGGCACAAGGCAGCAAGCAGCAGGGCTGGACTCTGAGGCTGCTGAGCGGCATGTGAGCAGGTACTGGGTGGGGTACTGTGTGGGCGTCACACTGAGAGGGCAGCTCTGTCTCCCTCCCTCCGCCCCCCTCCCAGCCGCCAGCAGGGGCTCCATCCCTGGCTCTCTCCCCTTCTCCATCTGCTCTCACGCCCTTGGTCACTTCAGCCACTCCCATGCTTCAAAGTACCCCTTACACTCACTGATGACTCCAGCGGCCACTCCGCCGGCCCCCTCCCCAAGGCCAGGCTCAGAGATCTCGCTGCCTCTCAGGTCAAAACTGAGCTCCTGGTCTGTCTCTGCCTAAATGGGCTCCTCCTGAAGGGCTCCCCGCCCAGGCCACCCCTCCTGGGGCCAAACACCCCGGCCGGTCCTGGTTCCCCTCTTCCACTCACCCCTCACACCCACTCTGTCGGGGACCCTGAGGGCTCCACAGGACACGTGCAGAAACCGACCTCAGCCCTCTCACCACCACCCCATTCGGCCCCCACCAGCCCTCACCCCTGTCACCACCGCCCCATTCGGCCCCCACCAGCCCTCACTGGATTTCTGTAACTGCCTCTTCCCCGGTCTCCTGCCAGTCCCTCACTACCCCTCCACACAGCAGCAGAGGGATCTTTCCCCCCACTTTTATCGATTTGGGGGGAGAGAGAAACACAGACTTGTTGTTCCGCTCACCCACGCACTCACTGGTTGATCCTTGCACGTGCCATGACCGGGACCAAACCTGCAACCTTGGTGTACCCAGAGGCTGCTCTAACCAACGGAGCTACCAGGCCTGGGCTGAGGGATCTTTACAAATTAAGTCGAGTCCGGCCGGCGTGGCTCAGTGGTTGAGCATCGACCTATGAACCAGGAGGTCACGGTTTGATTCCCGGTCAGGGCACATGCCGGAGTTGTGGGCTCGATCTCCAGCGTGGAGCCTGCAGGAGGCAGCCGATCAATGATTCTCTCTCATCATGGATGTTTCTATCTCTCTCCCCTCCTGTCTGAAATCAATAAAAATATATTTAAAAAAAAATAAAAACCAAAAGGTAAGTCAAATCAGGGCAGTGCTCTGCTCAGAACTCTAGAACCATTCATCTTAGAGCACAAACCAAACACCAATGGCCTGGAAGACCCCTCGCCTCTCGGACTTCATCTCCTCCCTCTACCCCTCGCCCCTCTGCTCCAGCCACAGCCCTCCCCCGGCCCCACAAACCTTCCTGGGCATCTGGCACTGCCTCTTCCCCCCGCGGACCCCTCTGCCCCCAGGTACCCTCTGCCCTCCGGGCTCCCTCCCTCACGTCCTTCAGATCTTGGCTCAAACCCCCACTCCCCTGGACCCCCTGCCTAACCCACGGTTCTCCACTGCACTCACCGGACCCGGCCTGCTGTACGTTGCACTATTTATTTTGGGTACAGTCACCCCAATCTCATGGGATAGACGGTGCATGAGGACAAGGATGTGTCTGTGCTGAACCCTCTGAGTCCCGGCACCCAGACCACCGCCTGGCACAGCGCGGGCACTGGGAACCACACATTGAGCGAATTAATTCGTTTACCAGCTGCTGAGGGAAGTACATCAGAAGCGAAAGATAAGGTCCCTGCCTCGGGGAGTTTAAGTCTTGGTGGGAAGGCAGTCACATACTCAGAAAGTTAATGATATAAGGAATATGCATTGGTGCCAACTGGTGGCACCAGCTGTGGGTTTCGTGGGCATTCAGGGAAGGGAGAGGTCAGAGTTTGGCCAATCGTCACAGGTGTGAACGAACAGGCAGGGCTGTGCAGGGCCTTGAATAATTCATAGGATTTCCTGTAAGACATTCGTGAATCAGATTAGCTGGTCTCTCTTAGCAAAGCCTTATCTAGGAGGAGAAGTTTTGGTGGGGGAGGGGA